AAATTGGAAGGAGAAAGATAAACTCTGAACTAGTGCAACCAGTTCAGCTATAAAGAACAGACCTATTGTAGAATAGCTCTAAAGCTACACTTTACGTGGCGATATACATAACCTATATGATGTAGGCACATGGTTTATTGTACATTTATACATACGACGTTGCGAAGAGTGAGTGTTGTGTATATTTGAAATTGGCAAAGGGAATTATTTATTACTGAAAGTGAAGTTTTGATGAAAGTGATCGTGATTTATATTTTCTATATGTAAAGAATCTGTGTTTAAAGAAGTTTTCAAATATGTCAAACGAACCTAAATTAACAAATACGTCGCCGGACTTTGGCAAACCACCTGAGAATCAGAACGATGTAAATATGTATTTTATTAGTATAAAAGCTAAAATGAGAGAGAGATATAAGATTGAAATTACTTTTAAATTTTCTGAATAAATTTTTTGAAATACAATTTTATATAAATATCTTGGTATAAAAAATTAATAAGATTTATTATGTAAGAATTAAAAATTTTTTAATATAAAAGCACAATTTATATGCATAATATATATGGGATAAACTTCCGAAAAGCTATCACCTTCGATTTAACTGATTTTCAGCCTAAATACTTATTTTATCTAGTAAATAATGTTCCCAAATGGATTTTTGGCGCAAATGCCCCCTCCGCTCCCCAGTCCCCCTTAAAGGTAAAACTGTTTTTGTTAATTATTTCAGAAAGTATTCATTGTACGGAAAAAGTTATCAAACAAAAAATGAAATTCATAAAAAGCTCTACAAATAAGATTCTATACATATTTTACCTAATTCCAATATTTTAGTCGTTATTATCAAAAAACTTGTAAAAGCCCTCATAGAAGGGGTGGCATCCACTGCATCCACGCATATACTTTACAATGCGAAACGAGATTTCACATGGGTTTACGACTTTCTACGCAAAGCGTGATTCAATCCAGACACCATGTGTATAATTTTTTGATGGAGGAGCCCTTCTGCAGGGGGGTGGACACACGCCAAAAATCCATTTGGAAATAGTATTTACTAGATAAAATAAGTATTTAGGCTGAATATCAACCAAATCGGAGGTGATAGCTTTTCGGAAGTCCACCCATACTTTTATATTCTAAATTTATTTATAAAATTATGGTTAAGTTATATACATTAAGAAACAAAAAAACATTTATGTTTTAAAATTGGAAGAACTGTAAAAGCCAGTGGCTTTTTATCCATATGTATACATTATAATAATAGATTATCGCCGTAAGACTTAAAATGTGAAAAAATTAATTATTTTATTTGTTCTAGTTGTTGCAATCTTTAGGTGTACCCCACGTTGATTCTTTCAATTACATGCTAGAAGATGGCATTTTTCAAGGCATAAAAGACAGTACACCAGTGTATTTAACTCTCCCTAATGATGATAAGATAGTCCTTTGGTTGGATGATGTGCATATTTATAAACCTACTGTACCTTCTGGTACAATTGGTGTAAAAAATTGTAAAATATATCCGACAGAATGTCGACAAAGAGGTACCACTTATAAAGGCAAAATAACAGTGAGAATTGGGTGGTCTGTTAATGGTAAAGAACAAGAACCTCTTGAGAAGGATTTGGGAGAAGTTCCAATTATGATCAAGGTGAAATTGTACATAAATAATGAATAAAGTGGAATATGAACAATGAAACACAACTAACCTATCTGTTATATGATAGTAGATAATTTCATTTATATCGTTATTTGTAGTCTAATCGATGTCATTTGAATAAAATGAGTCCTGAGGAATTGGTTACTCATGGTGAACATGAACAAGAATGGGGTGGATATTTTGTAATCAAAGGATTGGAACGATTGGTTCGCATGTTAGTAATGACAAGACGGAACTATCCCATCGCTATCAAGAGATCAACCTGGAAAACTCGTGGCACACAATTTAGCGATTTGGGTATTTCTTTGAGAAGTGTTCGGGATGACAATACTGCTACTGTAGGTATTCAAATAGAATTTTTTTTTACAGACTATTTCTATTATCATATTTTATGACAATATTCTATTGTCATATTTTATATATGAATTTTCTTACAGAATAATACGCTGCATTATGTGACCGATGGTTCAGCAAAATTGGCATTTACTTACAAAAAAGCTACATATTACGTACCATTGGTAATGATGTTAAAATGTTTGATAGACGTGACTGATTTATATATTTATAAAGCATTAATTGCCGGTTATGAAGATGATCTCTATTACAATAATTGTATTATGAATATGTTACGTGCCCTGCACGAAGAAGATCTGCATTGGCACGAACAATGTAAAGCACACATAGGAAAAATCTTTAGAATAAAATTCACTGAATTACCTCAGGATGCATCTGATATAGATGTTTGTGATTATATTATTAAGTGAGTTTGAATCACATTAATTTATCTAGTTTGCGAACGTGTAATTTGCTACAATTCTTTTGTATTTTTCATATAGGCATTGCGTTGCCATTCATCTTGATGATCCTGCTGACAAATTTTATTTTCTTGTATTCATGACGAAAAAACTGTTTGCTTTCATCGATAATAAATGCGTCGTTGAGGGTGCAGATGCTGTGATGATGCAAGAATGTTTGCTAGGTGGACATTTGTATCTGCAAGTTCTCAAAGAGAAATTGTGCTCTTGGTTGGCAGGACTTAAATTTTATATCCTCAAACGTGCCAAAAGTGCCGGTAATAGATACACTTTAAACATGCGTAAGTATTTCGTCTATAACTTTGTAAGAATAAAGTTATCTTAATATATAGACTAATGTTTTTTCATTATACATCTATTTAGAAGAAATGTTGAATGTCACCAAAAACCGGAGCAACATTGACTCGCAAATGGAATATTTTTTATCTACCGGAAGCATAAAATCATCAACAGGTTTAGGTCTTATGCAAAGTTCTGGACTTACGATTATCGTGGAAAATATCAATAGGATGCGTTATATGAGTCATTTTCGTGCAATACATAGAGGCGCGTTCTTCCAAGAAATGAGGACCACTGAAGCCAGACAATTGTTGCCTGATGCGTGGGGTAATTAAAATCTTTTATTGTTGTATTTTTGTATCAGAAAACACGTTATACAGTTTAAAAAATGAGCAATCATTGTCGTTATTATATGTTTGCAGGATTTATTTGTCCTATACATACTCCAGATGGTGCCCCATGCGGGTTGCTTAATCATCTGACAATGAATTGTATTGTTACAAAACATCCAAATCCAAAATTGAAAGCTGCGATACCAATAGCACTGGTGGACCTCGGGATGGTTCCGTTATCTATCGCGGATAATTGGAAGGGTTCGTACACTGTAATGTTAGATGGGAAATTGATCGGCCTAATTGAGGACAAGATTATTAATAAAGTAGTGTACAAACTAAGGCTGCTTAAAATAAAAGGTCACGAAGTGAGTTTAGCGCGATACCTTTTCGAGTGGATTTAATTTATATAATTGTTATGTATTTTTTTATGTGTATATATTTGTGATACATTTTATCTTTAGGTGCCATCAACATTAGAAATTGTACTGGTGCCAAAGAAGAAAGTTTCAGCTCAATATCCAGGATTATTCTTATTTACTAATGCAGCTAGAATGATGAGACCAGTAATCAATTTAGCTACGCAAAAGATTGAACTTATCGGAACATTTGAACAAATTTATTTGGATATTTGTGTGGTTCCTCAAGAAGCCTACGACGGAGTAAGTATATATACATATATTTTTTCATTTTTATTAATTTTTGGTTTTTAAATTCATTATCAAATAATAACTTTAATTTAATTCTTTTTTGTTAGATCACTACTCATCAAGAAATAAGTCAGACAACTATTTTTAGCAACTTGGCTAATCTCATTCCATTGCCGGATTGTAATCAGAGTCCAAGAAACATGTATCAATGTCAGGTAATCTTTTGCTAAATGAGACAGTTAATATTGTTTGCTGCCCGCGTCCGTTCATTCCGCGAATACAGAGACGCCACAAAGACGATAATTTACAGAGTTTTAAGTCTCGAGGGCATGCGAACTGTGAACATTTTGCTAATATAACGATTGAAGTGCATCGATATTTTCTCAATAATTTTGCAGATGGGGAAACAAACAATGGGCACACCATGTCACAATTGGCAACAACAATCACAAACGAAATTGTACAGGCTACAGACGCCTGCTGCGCCACTCTTTAGACCAGTACATTACGATAAAATTAACATGGACGACTTTCCCATGGGTACCAATGCAATAATCGCTGTTATCTCGTACACGGTGAGTAGTATTATTTTGCTTGCGATGATTAAAGATGCTGCATTTACTCGATTCTACGTCATTGATCATCGAATGCGCAGGGATATGATATGGAAGATGCGATGGTTATCAATAAATCGTCGTTCGAACGCGGCTTCGGTCATGGATCGATCTACAAGTCCGAGTTTGTTGACTTGAATGACAAAAAGAGTTATTTCGCTCGAAATCCAGACAAACCTGAGCTCGTGAAAACGTTAGACGCCGACGGTTTGCCTATACTGGGTAACATGATTAAGGAAGGTGATGTGTATTATTGGTAAGTTCCTGTAGTTTTTATATCGTCGCAATTTGGAAACTTATTGACAATCTTCGACAGTTATTACGATGCTGACAATGGCCACTATGTTAGTGGGACATATAAAAGCTCGGAGACCGCTTACATCGACAGTGTGAAGTTGTGCGGCACATTAAACAGCCATGATCTCCGAAGGGCGTGTATTACATTCCGTATTCCCGTTAGTACAATTATACATATGTCGATAAGTTGCTTTTAAAGAAATCACATTTTCTTTATATACAAAAAATTTCCAGAGAAATCCCACCGTTGGTGATAAATTCGCATCAAGAGCAGGACAAAAGGGGATTCTGTCGCGGTTGTATCCCACCGAGGATTTACCGTTCACAGAAACCGGCATGGTTCCTGACATTATATTCAATCCTCATGGTTTCCCAAGTCGTATGACAATAGGTGAGTTGGCGAGTACATTTTGCCGAAACAATATAGTAACAATGATCTTGATTTATAAAAAAAAATTAGTTTTCTCACAAGAAATTCTTTAGAAATTACGCGATTGCCACGAGCAAAGCGATAATTGTAATTTTCCATTCTTACAGCTATGATGATTGAAGTGATGGCTGGGAAATCGGCAGCTGTACACGGATTGGTTCACGACGCCACGCCGTTTCGGTTCGACGAGGACAACACAGCTGTAGATTATTTCGGGAAATTATTAGAGCTCGGTGGCTATAATTATTTCGGTTCCGAAAGAATGTATTCGGGTATATACGGATGCGAGATGACCGCCAGTATTTTCTTTGGCATTGTCCATTATCAGAGATTGCGGCACATGGTCTCGGATAAGTGGCAGGTAGTTGGCTTACGTGAATATTTGGGCATTATTTTGATTTAAGCTCTCAAATTTGTCTCCCTATGTATAATTTGATAAGAATTCCGTTTGCTGTAATTTATAACGAAAACAGGATAAACGTATATCTCATTTTCAGGTAAGAAGTACTGGACCGATCGACATGCTGACAAGACAACCTATCAAAGGTCGTCGACGCGGCGGTGGTGTTCGATTTGGAGAGATGGAACGAGATGCCTTGATCTCTCATGGTTGCTCGTATCTTCTTCAAGACCGCCTTTTCCACTGCTCTGATAAAGTAACGGTAAGCGACAAGATTCTTTACAGTTCGCTGTACTTTTAGTTGTATCGCCAGTACGCACTGGTTAAACACTACCTGTTCGTGATATATATTTGTTTACAGACTTTAGCATGCGTGACATGTGGGTCACTGCTCAGCCCAGAATTAATTGTGAAAGGTAAAAGCGACAACGACGACGCAAAGTGTCGTTTATGTGGTAAAGAAGACTCCATAAGCGAGGTCGAAATACCGTATATCTTTAAGTTCCTTGTAACACAACTAGCTTCCTGTAACATTAACGTTAAATTGAAATTTAGAAAAATTTAAATAATCGCAACATTATATCATGTATGTCTGTACATATATATTTTTTCAACAGAATAAAATTTTATTTTTACTTTCTAACATTCCATAATGTATTCTATACGTAAAGCTAAAATATTAGAGACGATGGAATTTTTTACATCAAGGTTTTTACATTTATATAAACCTCATTTACGATGCAAAACATCCATATCTACGTAAGTCTAATATTAAATATATACATAACCCGAACAATAGTTATGTTAAAAAATTAGATTGCACAAGAGTAGAATCGATTCTGTTATATCTTCTCTTTTTTTTTACAATGGGATGGAAGGGAATGTAAATATTTCGAATTATCATATCATACACGAACTATAATACTCTTATACTTTCCGCAGAGCAGAAAATTTATATTTTATACAAGTTGTGCGAGTGTTTAAGCTTTTGCTGGCACTTGTGTTCCAGGCTTACTGGAAGGTGCTCCGGATGCACCCGTTTGTTCCTTCTCTAACTGTTTCCCAAGATACTCCCTAAAAGATGGAGTAAAAAAATTAAATACTTACAAAATTAACACATAGACATCAAATAATAATTATATGAAAATGTCGCAACTTACCAATTATGTACCATGAGTTTTTGTACAGCAAGAAGGGCCTCATATCTGACATTAGGATCCTCGTGCCCGAGAAGCTGCATTACACGCTGCTTTCCACCAAGTTGTTCAATTATGCTGAAATATGCGGACCGTTATTACAAAATATTACAGTTGTTATATAATTTCAACAAATGCAGAGTAGCGTAAAACAAATGTGCTTATCTAAACATAAATCAACGTACTGCTTGCCACGCGGATAGTGGCGCACATATTCGCCTATATCGAAACTGGCAACACTGAGGACGAGTGGATCTTTGCTGGTCTCCAGTAGATGCACCAGAATCCGCAAGAGTTCGTAATTTTTTTCGTTAAGACGACTGGCGTTCTCGCGCCAGAATTTGCCCGACTTGTGAACGGGAGACCATTCCAGACGACCGGATTTAACCTCCGTCGAATATTCGTCGAATGAACTTAGATCCTGCACGGACGCTTGCAATTGATCGTTAAGAAACTCGATATCATCGGAGATGTCTTCGTCGTCGAACTTTCGTTGGCATAATATCGAAAGTTGCTTCAACACCTTGCACTGCACCATAGCGATGCAATGTTCTTTAGCGACCTGTCCATCTTCCACTTTTTCAATTAAATTCTAAAATTAACGTAAAAAATATGAATGACGAGGTAATCTTATATTACATTCATTTTTCTTCTGACATTCCGACTTACTCTGAATACCGCGAGTATGATACGTGTTACTTTTTCTTTGACTGAGTCGCTGAGTATATCAGCAAGAATGGGTATAACATTGAACCTGCAATATAATTACAAAGTTAGATAAATATAATTATATTAGACATTATGATTAATTTTAATAAAATGTATGTCAAACGGGGGAATAAGTTACTCACTTGTTCATCTTTTCCGCCAACAGAGGATTGAAAGTAAGTACCCACAGGCAGAAAATAAGCTGATACTGCACTTGGAAGTTCACCCTTCCAGACAGAACACTAAGAAGAGTTGAAATTCCGTCGACGGATACGAATGCAAAGCGATATTCATCTATACGAAGCATCATTTGTAGACATCGTGCCACGGATTGAATGTACTCATTGTTCTAAATAGAATAAATAATGTATATTTTTATATGTTCCTTGCATTAAGTTAAGAAAAACTAAAAAAATTGTCTCAATGATGAATTTGTCTTTAATTTAGAGGAGAAGCGTTTAATTGATGTGTTACTACATGCAAAAGTACATGCAAAATGTTTCAGTACCTTAAAAATGAAAGATCTAGCATCTATTAAGAAAAGTGAATTTTATAAGTTTGCAGTCAAGGTTTTAAGGAATTTGCATTCGCAAATGTGACATTCACATAAAACAGGATCTTATGAAACCTAAACCATGCATATTTACGATTAAATTTTACCAGCCAATTGTCCTAAACATTAGGTGATACTTTTTTTTAGTGTGTGTGCGCGAGATATCACCAACACACACATCCTGATGATTTATTAACAATTTGTTTGTTGGCAGAGTATGATTTAAAAAAGTACTTCATAATTTATTTATAATAATGAGCTATAATACTATTATTAGTCGTTACAAAACCAACCGGGTTGAGTAATTCATGCAGTTCATTGGCCTCCTTGGCCTGATCCACAGCAGTATCTTGTTCTAGTCCCGCATGCAAGTCTGTGTGATCCTGCAGGGCATCAAACTAAAACCCCATCACACTTTTTTTATCTATACAAGATCTATTGTAATTTGAAGAGATTTCTCAGAAATTCTCAAGCTTCAGTCACTCACAGGAATTTGACACCATTTGATATGTTTTATTTTGTTAGTTATGTATATACTTAATTCATATGACTTCTACAGATTAATAATTATAGATTTAACACCATAGAACTTTTATAATATTAAAATTATAACAATTAGGATTACCCATTGGATTAGTATTTTACAAGTGTTATTTGTAAAACAACAGTATTGTAAGTAATATAAATAAGCTAAATTATATATAAAATTGTTATTGCACTAATGTTAGTGTAATAAATAAAGCATTGAAATTTTTAGTAAGTTATAATTTTTCCATTAAAATGCCAACTGAATATACAGCGATTCATATATTTATTTACATGCTTTCAGATATTAAAAATATTTTTTTATCTTTCTTTTCTCTTAATTTTGTGCATATAACTATTACTTACTCTATGGTTAATATTTATTAACTCTTTAACTTGGAGAAAAGATAACAGAAACATTTTTAATATCCAGAAATACATGAATAGATAGAAGAATCACTATGAATTTAATATGCATGATTATTTTTATAGAAACCATGACCAAACATGATAGATTACTAAAGCAGGATTACTAAAGACATTGCATGCAGTATACTTTAAGAAAAACTTTGTACTGTGCAAAAAGCAAAACAATAGTAATTGTACAAGTAACTATATAGTAAACACAATGCAACTAACTAAAAACAAACTAATCTTAGCATTTAAACATAGATTACTTGTCTGCAAGATAAATATATTTTTTCATATTATTTTTAAAAAGATTATTCAGAAAAAATGTTAAAAAATAAATGTAAAAATAACTGATTAATTATTACTACTAGCACAGACTGTAACAAAAATCAAATTATATAATTGATACAATATATAGATCTCATTAAATTGATAACTATTTCAAACCTTTCTGCAACTTGCAATCCATTATTGCAATAATTTGTCAAAGCAAACTCACGCTAAGTTTCAGTTGATCCTTGAGCCATGTCAAATAAAATTGTAGATCAGTTTTTTCCATGAGATCATGACTCCAGCAAGCTAACTTGGCTATAATGCGCGATGTCATATTCATTATAAAACCATCTTGCCGATTCAACAAATTGAGGAATGGTCCCCAAACTGATTCTCGTTTTCGAGTAGAATGCTCACGGAAGATTTCCACGCGACTGCGATCCTCCTATCAACAATATTACGTTACTTTTATACTGGCATAAAGAATAAACTCTATCAAAAATATTGATAAAAAAATTTCATTTATTTCATTAAATAAACAAAAAAAAAACATGAAATTATACCTGTAACATGTCATCAATCATCGTGAGGATATACTGAATTGTCTGATCCTTTGAAACATGACCAAGCAAATTAAGGAACGTTTTAGCTGCCTGATGTGGATTCTCTGATAGCTTACTTTCCCTTGCTTTAGCATCACTTGTGTCAAAAGCTGCTATAAAATCATAGTCTTCTTTCGATATCATTTGTGATCTAAAAACATCAAAAATTATCTTATGTACTTTCTAAGAATACATAATCTTCTATAAAGCTTTGCATCTTTAAACGATATACGCATCTCACTGGGCTATTTAAAATAATTTAAAAGCACTTACTGCAAATATGATTGCCAATTAATTCGTTGGTTTCTAATATCAGCAGCTTGTTGTTGGAGCACGCTTGTAGCTGCCAGCATATCTAAAAGATCACTTGAATCAATGTCTAAATATTAAACATAAACTGATAGACAATAAAATAATGTCTATTCAAACCAGCATTTGCAATAATGCCATACATAATTGTTAAACAAAACAATAAAAACAGATTTCATTACTGGGAGGGGCACAATATCAAATAGACATTATCTCTTAAGCGATGAGCATAATTACCAATTTTTTCATCTGGCAGCGTTGGTATCATCTGTTTGATATTCGCACGGTCCACCATGATTATTGTCAAAATCTCACGCTAGCTTATATGGAAATAATTTCACTCGAAAAATTTGACTTCCAATCCTTCTCGCAACCCTTGTCTCTTCAGCTGTTCGATCACAAGACCAATCAACTACCAACCTAATAAAATTGGAATTGTCTCAACTTGAAGAAATTGAATGTTGCTAGATGTGCTGAACAGAGACGTATATGCGGAACAGAGTCTGGCGAGCAAATTATTTCGCGTTACATGTTATTTATGAAAAAGTAATAAATTAATGTCATTTTTTATTATGCTTTAGATACTAAATTATAAGATAATTACATATTGAAACATATTATTAATTTTTTTAAAGATAAGATAATTTAAATAATTTTTTGAAATCATCAACAGAAGGACAAATGTTATTCTTTTTTCATACGACTCTGCATTTTACTAGGATTACGTTAATGCGCATGCCTGAAAAGCACGAGCTCTCTATCTAATGGCTAATTTTGAGGAAGCAGTGCAAAAATTGAGTAAGTTGATAATGGTGGGAGATTTAATTTCGTACATAGTAATAAAAAGTAACCATAATCTATTATAAATATTAAAGCAATTAACGATTCTCTTAAAATCAAATTATAAACACTGAAATTGTACTTATAATTTGAATTTGAGAAAATTAAGCTGTAATAGTGTTAACTTTTATGAAATTTGAAGAAAGTTTTATGTTTTTGTTTATAAAAGTTAGCTTTGTGTATAATAGATTTTTTATGCTGTTATATAACCTAAAATTATATTTATTTTTAATAATAAATTGTCATAAATTTATATGTAGAATACATAAGAATTACATAAATAAAAAAGATAATGAATACACTAGTCTAAAAAAAAATTTTTTTTAATTATTTTGAATCAGACAAGGTGTTTCTTAGAAATTTTTGGATGCTGAAAACGAATGCGATGCCGCAAACTAAATTTCACCAGCACATCAGGTTTTCAAAATAATTGAGGTTTAATATGTAAAAAATGGGTTTCTTTGCGATATTACATTTTTTTGTAAGAAAGGTTAATGTTATCTTGAAATTCTGATCAGAAATCATGAATGTATCTCGTTCATCCCCTATAAAATTTATTTTTTTAATTTCGATATCTTACTTTTTAACCATATTATGAAGGATTAAAGCTAGGAGCTATTTCTAATATGGGGACGCGCGCGCACGCGCTCCTGAGGCTCCTTGTTTTAATCCTTCATAATATAGCTACAAAGTAAGGTATAGAAATAAAAAAAATGCATTTTATAGAAGATGAACAATACAGTCATGATTTCTGATCAGAATTTCAAGATAACGTTAACCTTTTTTACAAAAAATATCAAATATCGCAAAAAAAAACTCATTTTTATATATTAAACCTCAATTATTTTGGAAACCTGACGTACTGGCGAAATTTAGTTTGCAGCATCGTTTTCAGCATCCAAAAATCTATAAGAAACACCTTGTTTCCAAATAATTTTTTACTGTAAACTAGTGTCATTTTCATTTTGATATATTGAACTAGAAAGAAACTGGAATACTGCATTTATAAAAAATGCTTTATATACTTTAAATCTACAATTATTTTTTAAATTTCCATTCCCTCTCCTTTTTCCTATTTTTATCTTGTGATATTTTTTTCAAATTTGAAATTATATGGAAGACAGTGTAATACAGCAAGACAATGAGATAGAAATAAGATAAATATTTTTTACCATTTTAGTTTATAACAATTAAAGAACTCATAAAATTATAAAATAATAACAAATATAAGCTATAAAATTGTATTATTATTTTAATGAATATAATTATTTTTTCATATGACAGAATTTATATTTTAGAAAAAAAATGTTCCAGAATTCGACGTAACGGCGTCGTAAATAAAGGTATTATGAATGGATTTATATTGATTCGTTATAAGTTTGATAGTTTCCTGTGCTGCAAGACCACCTAGAAACGCTGAAACGGAGTGCAATTCTGCACCACCAAATCGGCAAAATTCATGCACATAATCATCCTTGGCTAGTGGTCCGCATCCCCATTCACTTAATAATTTTGTAAGGCATGTCTGTAATATAACTCAATTGTAAAGACTGCTGGCTTATTATATAAATAAAAAAAAAGATAAAAAATACCTTAAGCTTTACGATGTCAGGTTCCACTTGATCATCAAATTCACCTGGATATGAATTGTACTCTGCTTGAAATTTGTCCACTCCTCGAAGCATAACGTAATAAATCATCATACTCTCTGGATTCTCTAAGTTTTGAACTAGAAAAGATATAGAGTCATTAGTATATACTTTGAGATCAACAACTATTATAATTATATATTAAAAATAATTTATAATAAAATTATCAACTTATAATAAATTATAACTTTGTATATTTCTGAGAAAAAGAATTATTACCTATGATATTTGTATCAAAAACTTTAGGATCGTATTCATCTGCAATACAAGTTCCGTTTTCTACATGAATGTCAGCGGCATGTCTGCAGAACAATTTGACATCCTTCTCCAAAATTGAATCAGATGGTCTTCCCAGTTGACGTAGTAACTGCAAAGTACGCCGCCATACAGCTTCCACATCTGCTGATGCTTGTTTATGATATCTAAAACAAATTAAATGTTAGTTTATGATTATAGATTAATGGATGGCATAAAAAACGTATTTTGATGTCTGTACGATTATTATTTTAGGAAATATCATACATTTGTTGAAGTGTAACATATTTTTCAGTGTCCGCAGTCATGTCGGGTAAAGCACCCTTAAGTGGTAATAATCCTTTTCCTTCATTATCAACGAAATCACGTACTGCTTTTGCGATAATCCAGAAAGAGCTACTCTAAAATATATTGATCAATTTAAACGCACATTTTTCCAAATTATATGTGAGATATAGAGTTGTTTCATCAATACCTTTGCGGTTAAATTAATGCAACGATCATCGTTTAAAATATTCATAACGCTATCAGGAATATCGCTCACTCTTATACATTTATTCACAGCCTTCATAGCTTCTTCAAAATTTTCTTCACTATTGGACGAATCTTGTTCATCGCGTCTCATGCCATTTTTTATCATCTTTTTAAGTTGCAGTTTATCTTTATAAACTTTTGGTAAGGTACCGTGCTCTAAAATCCACTTTTCTAAGAATTTGTACAAGATAACTAGATATGGTACATGACAATGATCCTTGAAACTCATTTCATCCAGATTGATAGAATCTAAGTACTTCTTTAAACTATCAAATGGTCTATCTAGACGCAGGTCTAGTGTTTCATTGTCTGGATGTGTTTCTATAACTGTATGCTCCTTCACTTGAACCCGCATATATGCAATAAAGCCTATACTCTTACACACTATTAGAGGAATATTCAGTTCCCAGAGTCTTTTTGACAGAAGAACCAATGTTCTGAAAACATTTTCAAGAGAACACTTATTACTATATTTATATCAATCCTGGAAATATGTAATATATGTATAACGCTTTTTTTACACAATATATTATTTAAATATTAGATCTCTTACTTTTCGGTCAATGCAGTTGCTACAACTACAGTAAAGTTATTAAAAAAATCTGGACTGTTAGATAAAATTTGTTCAGGTTCTTCATCAATATAATCACCCGTTACATCTGGATTCAACTCCAAAAGCATTTGAGTGGCTATTTGTGCTCTAGATTTTCCAATACTATCTGCTTCTAGAAAAAAGCTGATTCAAATTTATTTAATATATAGCATTAAACTATGTTTTGATCTCATATGGTGTAAAATAATGTTATATACATACTTAGCTCCAATATCTTCATCGGTAATCTTTTTGCCATCAACTATAGTGAATGCTCCAATACCTGGGAGTACTAGCGATTTCAATATCTCTGTGCCAAGTCCGGTAGCATTTATGACACAAACATGAGCAACTTCTAAGGTTGCTTGACCATGATCACCCCATAATCTGCAATGATAAACATTATGAATTAAAGTGACAAAGAAAGAAAATATAACTAGAATGGCAACATTATTTATTTGAATAGAAAATAGGAAGATACATACAGATATATCAGATACAACTAAAACTATCGTGTCACTTGAAAAAAAGTAAGGATATCTTAAGAACATGTAAGTGAAGTGACAACATTATTCGTTTAAGCGGAAAACAAGATGATATATAAGATATATAAAAATTATTAATCATAATTATAACCTTCAAATATTATAACTATCGATTAACTTACCTCAATTGTCTATCATATTTCCGATTCTTTTCAGATTGTTCGGGTGATTTCGACTCAGGAGATGCCATTGCAAAGATGAATTTAAAATAATGATGTAAATAATGGCAGGAAGTACTTCGAAATGCACATCACACGAACACAACAACGGTATCCACGATTTTGACCACTACTCACAACAGTGTAGCCAAATTTGGCCCGGTTTTTCGCACATGCGCGACGCGACAAACGCAGTGAGGTGTTTCAGTCTAGTAAAAAAGTATACCATATGGTACCCGTTTATTTAAAAAAATTATTATTTTCTGAAAAATTAATAAAAAATAAAATATATTTACATATATTTATATTTACATATACATATACATATACATATACATATTTACATATACACATATAAGTGTTACCTAATATTCCTATAAT